GATTGACAGAGAGTGGGGGGAGGGGGGGGAGCCAATCACTTTATTTTTCTTTTCTATTTATGGAGTGAAGTGGAGGTCCATGATCGCCTACGCCAGTCGGCAAGGCACCGGATGATGATGATTTATGAAAAACATATTACTTTGCCTTCATCCTGTTCCTTTGCAGCTTGCAGAATCGTGCACGCAGCATTATAGTGCAACCCTTTTGGTGTTGTTTTCGGCAAAGATTCACGTTTTTCAAACAATTAAATGACCCTGACCCTATAACAAAAGCAATCTAAAAACCATTTAGGGAGCAAGCTTCAGTGTTACCTTCATGGTGCAAGTTTTTACACTCTCTCTGTTTCTCAGTGCCGCCCTCTGGCTATGTGTAGCACTGCCCCCACCCCCTCCCCATCTTTGCTACAACTTTCTTATGTTGTTCCCGTTGGAGTCGTAGAAATGAAACTAGGAACCATACTGCAAATACCTATCACAACACGATACCGAAGTCAGTCTCCTAAGATTTTAGTATTTTGCTACATTAATGAGGATGATGATGATTTTTTTGGAGGGTTTCTTTAATGGGCCTTGTGGCCTCCACGAAAAAATCTTCTAGCGAGAGCGAGGCTATTTTTCGGCTCCATTGTCATTATACTCGTCCAAATAACTCCATTCAAATTGCCATTGTGACATCCCCCCCCCTTTTATGGTTATATCTTCGCTTCGGCTACGTGGGTTGAGCTCTTCATTGATGATGATGATGATGATGATGATGATGATGATGATGATGATGATGATGATGATGATGATAAAGAGGAGAACGAGAAAGAGGAGGACAGAATGAAGACGAGGAGAGAGTGATGTATCAGTGTGGCACAGACATGCTGTGTCCTACAACACATGTTTTCCTGTTTCAGTCAAACGTTGGGCTCGACAACACGGCAGGTTTTGCTCCCCACGTCGTGTTCCCAGATCATCTGCCAGCCCATAAAGGTAAAAAAAATAATCCCCCAAAAAGGCCAGGGTTGATTAAAAAAAAAAAAAAAAAATCATGTGCTAGTGAACCTTGTTTTGACTCTGGGGTAATGCTGGTTTGATATAATGATGATGATATGAGTTTGTTTGTGATCTTTTTAATCATTATTTCAACGATGCAAAATATGTACGGTTTGCTCTGAAAGGAGAGTAGCACAGAGTAGCGCTTTGTACACTGTGCTTGGCAAGTGGCGTGTTTCAATGTGTGGCTTTGAGATTATAACTACGCAGTGTCATTGTCACAATGTAACGGTCGTTAGAATTGTCCCATAGAAAGTAAAAAGTAAACCAAACCGTGAGTACAACGTTGCCAACATCTGCACAATGTGTGGTATTGATAGTAAATAGCTATTTGAATGCAGAGTTTGGCTGGAATCGTATTTAAATGTGTGGTATTGATAGTAAATAGGTATTTGAATGCAGAGTTTGGCTGGAATCGTATTTAAATGTGTGGTATTTGAATACTGAGTTTATCAATCAATTCTGTCCAAACGTTTATCACATCTCGCGATGTCCTTGCACAGATTATTTCGTCTATCACCGGCGGAAAAGGGGGTACGGACCCGCCACCCAGAAATCCTCAGCTCTGTTGACCCCGCCGACCTCCCGTGCCCCGTTCTCCAGCCCCTCCGACCACCGCGAGCTGCAGTCGCCCTCCCCGTCCATGTCCCCCAGCCCGCAAGTCGAGTTGCCCCCCATGTCTCACCTACTGCCCTCTGACGAGTCCGAGTGCGAGTCTGAGGACCGTGACTGCATGTCGCCCGACTTCTCCGGGAGCGCCACGATGCTGAGGGACAATGACGAAACGCTCAACGAGATCACGTGGGCTTTTGACTCCTCCCCTTCGGCGTACCGCTCGCGGACAAACGTGATCACGGAGAGCCACGAGATCTCCAAGCGGAAAAAGCTGGCCGTGGATCCGGACAAGTTCCTCAAGGGGAACATCGGCGGTCACGGCAATCAACAGACCCGAGTCCGTGAGCGAGGCAGGCGGTCTGAGAGTGAGGAGGCCAGGTGGATGCACGTCGATCGCGCGCACGGGGAGCGAGCCGTCAACACGAACCCCAGAAAAGAGTCGAACCGGAGTCTTTCACTGCCCAAGGATCTCAGAACAGCGGCGTGCAGAAACGACTTCGGCCCGAGCAAAACCTCCCCTTGCAAAGACAACAGATGGCGCTCAACGGTGGCCCAATCCCCACCGTCTCCTGCTGTCAAAATCAGAAAAATCTCGAAATCCCCTGGTGGCGGAGGCGTCCTCGTTAACAGCAACAAATGGGGGAGGCGATCTAGGAAGCTGGCTGCCTGCACCATCAACCAGAAGCAGGGAACCGCCTCGGGACAACAACTCATGAGTCACCGCAGCTCGGACTCGGAGGAGGCGTTCGTCCATCTAACGTGCTGCCCGGAGCCGTCATGTCGTTCTGCGGACACCACCGAGCCTCAGGCGAGCAGGAACAGAAGCGAGACCAACCTGGTCTATAAGAGGGACAGCTGGATCTGGTTCTCTCCCGAGACCAGGTACGTCACAGCGGTCTTCTTTACCAGTTTTTGTTTTGTTTTATCTTATTTATTTGTTTCATTTTATTGATTGATTTTATTTATTTATTTATTTATTTATTTATTTATTTATTTATTTATTTATTTATTCATTTATTTATTTATTTATTTATTTATTTATTTATTTATTTATTTACAAATTCATTTGATTTACTTGATTTATTTATTTTGTTTATTTATTCATTTATTTATTCATTTAATTAATTAATTGATTCATTTTATTTATTTATGTCTTCTGCGTATCTGCGAACTTTACCCAGAAAGGAAAGGTTGAACACGGTTTTAAAATAGACTGGAAGCAATGTAGAAAAAAGAAAAACTTCTAAAGCCTCCAAATCTTTCGGAGGGAAACTGTTAATCATCAGGTCTGCCCTTTACTTCGTTTTCCTCTGATCTAGTTTAAAGTCCATACCGTCCCAATTTTTGTTCTTTCTTGAGCCAGTTACCACCCACCCCTAAAACACGCGCACGCACACACACACACACACACACACACACACACACACACACACACACACACACACACACACACACACACATCTCAGCCTCCCACCTCAACCCCTCCCCTCCCCAAAAAACATGACCTTGTTTTCTCACTCAAATTATTGTGATCCATGTTCCCAAATTAGACAGCTCCATGATTATATTAGCACAATACAGCGATGCCAAATTGTAATGTTAATAGGTCTCTTAAAAATCTTTTGTGAGATATAATATACCTGGTTTATATATTTGTGGGCTGAAACAGTCAAGCACCACATGGTTCTTTCTGGGTGGTTGGCGGGTGCTCTGGGGTGGTTTCATCCTTCTTTCCTATCAAACATATATCGTCCTGATCTCTCCTCCTTCTTTTTTGTGTTTGTTACTCTCTTGTAACACCTCTAATCTTCGGCACTTATATGACCTTATTGTGTTGTGGTGCTAGTGCCTTAAAACTCTTACTAGAACAAAACTTGCTTCCTTATTTTCTTTGCAACATCCACCTAGTTTTTTTTTGTGTGTGTGTCCAAATATAGGCCCAGCGTGGAGAGCTTCGCCACTCGCCAGAGAAAGTTCCAGAGCTCCGACCCGCGCGTGGCTAGACTGGCGGCTGAGATCAAGAGACAGGAGAAACTGAACCGAGACATCGAGCGGAAAGCCGAGTCTATGATCGAGAGCTCTTCCGTCTCGTCCGACCGGGTCTTTCGCGCGGACGCAGCCAAGGGGAAGAAGCGCACAGACCTCCCACGAGGCTCTGCGCTACCCCCGGTAAATTCTTCCGACCACTCACCGACCGTGAACAGGTCGAAAAACCGCTCACACTCCGTGCCCTCTGCTCTCGTGTCGCGACATAACGCGGCCTGTAAGAAGCAGCAGGGTGTGATTACTTCCAAGATGAACTTTCGAGGATTCGAAAAGAACGCAAGGTCGCCGAAGATGCTTCACGAGGGAGCGAGAGTGCGGGAAAACAGCGCCAGTCCCTCGAGGAAAGACGGACGTTCCCCCAAGCGAAAGCAGTCCGCCCACCACCCGGAGACCGAGGCTCGGACCCCTGCCCCGAGGAGCGCCAGCAACAACTCTAGAGGAATCCTCCAATTGCCCGGCCGCTGGACGGAGAGCCGGCTGAGGACCGCCTCGCTGAGTCCTCTCAGGAACGAGTCTCTGTCACCACAGCGAGAAGCTCAGCTGGGACCGAGGACGAAAGGCTCCCAGGGCTTCCAAACACAAGTACCGTCGAGACAAAGAAATCTTCTCAACCGTCAAGGCACGTTTAGTGGAAACAGCTCCAAGCCAAACGAAGGGATTATAAGCAAGGCATCTATCTTTTCCTCTCGACAAATTACCCGCTCTATTCGTTTTGAGAAATCTCCTCACGCAGGTTCCCCTCAGCGGCGGCCCGTGGACTTTGGCGATGAAGGATTGAACACGTACTCACCACGTGCACGTAGTCCCGACAAGTCCGGGCAGGAGCGAGCTGGGGCGGGTGTGGGCAGCGTGCGTGTGTTGGAATCTCCGCTCAGGGTGAGTGTGTCGCCGTCTGCAAGTCGTAGGAGGGGCGGGGAAAAGGAGGCGCAGTCCCAGGGCGACATGACCTCCGCCCTCTTCTCGACCACGGACACGGGGACGTCCAGACTCAAGTCTCCGTCTGTCGTGCTCTCTACTGGGGAGTCGGAGACTGAGTCTGCCTTCCTGAACAGGTCCGGTCACGTCTGCCAGGTGGTGCAGAAGGTCATCAACAGAGAGGTCAAGGACGTGGTGCGCAGCCTTCTCACTGACCCGGAGCAAAGTTCATCCTCCCACACCTCCAAAAATCGACACTACGACGAAAAACAGCAACAACAACAACAACAACAACAACAACAGCAACAACACCACCACCAGCAGCAGAAGCCGACTCCAACAACCAGAAGTGAGAACACGCACAGCGAGGAGGAGTTGTCCCCTACCCAACGTCGGCCAAATAAAAAGCAACAGAATGACGCAGCGTGCAGGTTTGGTAACAATGGTAACAGTCTCGGTTCTGAACGACACCACGGCGGCAGCAAATGTTCTCCTCCTTCAAGGAAACCCGCGAGCCGAGCAGCCGACAGTACCGAGTCGCCCTTGTCTGACGTAGGCGTTAACACCTCTCAGTATGAAGACATGATGTCAAACGAAGCTCGAACGTTTAACTCCAAAATTCCGGTCGCTATTCGATCTTACAGTGCATCGCCTCAAGAGTGGAAGCGACAAAATTCCCCCCTTGTGCAGGTGACCAATCATGTTAGTGGCCAAGGAGATGCGAGAAGGATCAACATCTACACTCCCGAGTACTATTTAGGGAGAATGAGCCCAAAGGGGCCGATCAGAAAAACTCCAGACAGTCCACAACACGACATGTCACCCTTTGAGCCGGTGAAAAATAAAGCGAAGTGCCTTACTATGCAAAATCAAGAAGAGCCTGCGATAAAAGTTTCTTACCAGAAACCAATTCAAGCTGCAGCATCTAGAGTACATTCACCGGCTATGTGTGATGGGAAACGCTACACGCAACAGCAGTCCCCAGGGTCTAAGGCGGTAAAGGGGGTTGTGCAAAAGAAAAAGACGAGGTTTATGCCAGTAAACAAGTCCACATTACTGATGAATACTCTAAATGGAAGGGACAGCGAAAACACTATACGGCACCGAGCAACGAAAGAGTCGTGCGATAAACGATCAGGATCGTTGGGATTTTCGAACGAAAACAAAACCGGGGTTCAAACTGACAGTCAGCGATGCCAAAAATGGGAACACGTGTGGAGGGAAACCTCAGAAGGCGTCGATCCGATGTCCGCCTTGAGCAGCTGGAGCCAAGATTCCGACGCGAGTGTCCGCGACAACGAGAAGAGGGCTGCCGCTCCTGTACGATTCAACAAAAGACGCGAGGAAGGCCCCAGTGCCGACAGGAAAAGCTCTACCACCGCTGTTGTCGGCGCTTCCACAAATAACTCGTCCAGTTACCTCCCGTACAAGGGTTGCCCGGCTCTACGGCCGCACGTGGGCAAATGTGATGCCAGAAGTACCCAGTACCAATACCACAGCCGCGGTGAGTCCAGGTGCCAGATGGACGACATCAAAGCGCCCAACCTGTGCACCTCCACAGCCGCCCTCACCAACGTCCAGGTGTCTCACGTAGACACGTTTGCTCACACCAACAAGAACAAACATTGTCCGCCCCTCCCTGTGTGGCCACGCCCCGTCCACACGAGGGGATCTGAGGCATGTGCCGGGACTCTGACTCACATCAGGGCCGGTGCCGCCACCCCCGGGCCTCTGAGGGCGATGAAGAAGCGACACCTGTGTTGGACGAAGAGAAATTTGGGAGCGTCACACCGAGACACGACATGTGGAATCTATGAGCAGCGCTCAAATATACACGAATCCTTGGGTATCGGGAAAAAGTTTGCCTGTCTTTACGGTAAAAGGCGTGCTGTCTCAAGAAACAAAACAGAGGATCAATCACTGTTGAGCGTGAACACAGCCCAGAGCGGAATATTCAGTAACGATGTCTCAAAACCCAACAAAATGACGTATTCTGTGTTCCGTAGAGGCCTACAAATCCAGGAAAAGAAAGATGAACTAGTTAGGCCAGACTCACGTGAAGTGGACGAGTCTTTTTTGCTTAACAGAGTTTCTGGTGTCGGCAAATTCAGGGCGGCTCATCGCGTCATGTTGCCTCCGACGTCTTCGGACGAAGAGAGTGAAGAAGCCGACAGAAATTGTCAAATTCTCCAAAAGCAGAATTCATTCTCAGCCACTGAAGGAAGTCAGATTACTGATTTAGTTCAGCCAAGTATTAAACTCGAAGCTGACGTTCTCGTACCCAACTCCAACCCCGACTCCGGATACGAGGAAAGTGTGTCAGATAAAACTATGCCCCTCTCAGACAAAACCATGCACCTGTCAGATAAAACTATACCTGTTTCCGATAAAACAAAGCCCGTGTCCGACAGAATCATGCCTGCTTCTGATGTGTTAGGCAAAACTATGCCGGTGTCGGTTAAAACCCTTCCCGTATCGGACAAATCCATGCCTGTTTTAGGAAGAACCAAGTCCGCGTTAGATAAAACCACGCGCGTTCGGCATGAGGTCATGGTTACAGAAAAGAGACCTCCGCCCAGCACCAGTGCTCTCCCTGAGACACAAAATGCCGCCACAGACGAGCCCGGTGTTTGGGAAGCGGCGCCAGGAACCTCAACCAGCAGCAGAAGTGACTCTCGCTCGTCTGAGGACGCGGCACAGCGGAGTCCCTGGAGCGCTGACGGAGCTATGGATCAGACCACGCTGTCGTCTGTTAGTGAACCCGCCGCCTGGTCATGTGACCTCTGTGACCACACTGACCTCTGTGACCCCACTGACCCCGGTCACCTCGGTGACAACGGTGACCCCATGGACCTCAACAACGGCAGTGACCCCGGTGACTCTTGTAACAGTCTCGCACGGAATAGCGCGGAGGACGAAGACACGAAACCCACCGACCAGGATACCCTGCCGTCCGTCAGTGAAATCAGCTGCTGGTCGTGGGAGTCAGTCAGCTCCGTGGAATACAACACGCGAGGGCAGACGGAGGAACCAGAACGTTCGTCTGCAGCCACCGCTGGTAACAGCAAGTCGTCGTCACGTGACCACCTCGGCTGTGCAGAGGGCGCTAGTGTTCCCCCTGAGATAAGCAACACAGGTCCCGACCCGTCCCTGTGTAAGGCCAAGGTCAACTGTTGGTCACAAGAGATGTGTAGCCTGGTACAATGTGTGTCACGTGCGGAAGGAGAAGACACGAACCAGGACTCGCGTGTCGTCACAAGGGGAGAGGGCGGGTTTTCTTACGGTGTGAAAAGTTCCACACCGTCTGATGTGCAGGCTTCTAGGATACCAGAGGGGCAGGCTTTCTCTTCCAACCGACCGAGCAGCTTTAGTTTTTGTGGCATGTTTCGTTCTGTTGAGAGTGGCGGTTTGGGAGTTTCTAAAAACGCAGCAGATGAGCAACCTGGCGGGGACCGGGTTACAGATTCCGGGCCCAGTAATTTGACAAGTGCGGCGTGTCCCGGACAGTTCTCGACTGAGCCGGACATTGACCTACATAACACAACTCTCCACACCAGCCACGATGGGTCGGGTATTTATTACGAAGCGGAAGAAAACTCGGTGTCCTTTTCAGACTTGACGGGACTCTCTTCAACGTCGTTGTCAAATCTTCTGGAAGATGTCTCTGATTTCCCCAGTGACATTTCGTTGCAGTCGCTGTGCTGTTCTTCGTATCTTAGCCCGCAAGTCTCCAGCACACAGCCCACACAAAGTTTCCACGTTCCGCCCACACGCCCAGTCGCCAAGCTGCCGATGAACAGAGACAGCCCAGCTATCCATCAACGTGGTGATCTAGACCGAAGGTGTGGTGGAGATATCGTCAAAGAAAAAGTGCTGATCCACAAAGACGACAAAAACACTACCTCTTTGACAGACTTTTTGAAATCCAGCAATCGCTTTCCTCCGGTATTGTCCGCGAAACAGAAACCACTCGAGTCGGACAATGTTCCCGGCGACTTTGTCTGTGGCATCATCGCGCGGACAGTCCCCCTACCCCTGACATCTTCCGACGACGAGGAAGACGAGGAACGCCCTAGAAGGAACTACGACGAAGGCGTCAGTGACGTGAGAAAAAAGACGCATCATTTCCTCGACCGCTCCTCGAAAATTAGCGAGGGTGTTCCAGAATCACACGGTTTTGAAACTCCGTGCAGTGGAAGTTGTGAGTCAAAAAGAAGTCCTGGGACGTTTTCTAAAGAGGATATGGAATCGACAACACCACCCGACAGAGGCAGTTCGTTGAGTGTGGGTTCTGGACAGCAGTCGAACACGTATGGGACAGTTCTTTCCCTTGATTTTCCAAAATCTGTAGGAGATCCGAAGACTGATCTGACGGAGAAGTCACACAGACACGCCCCCTGTCCCGCCAGTTCCGAGATCCAACTCTCGGGTGAAAAAGCGAGCTGTGAAGTAGCGACGGGTGAGCAGCAACTGACACAAGAGGAAGAAGACTTGGATTGTCAACCTGAGCACAGACGACCCATCCACTTCCAGAGGAGTATGCCGTTTGCTGAACTCCTCAGGCGATTCTGACAGTCTCTCCTGTACCACGCGGACATACGAAGTGGGCAGCTGGTGCCCTTTTGTGGCGTGTGAGGACGTATTATACCTACTATCCCCCCAAAATCTTTACCCTCGGGAAAGCCTATAACATAAAAGGGTAAAGGTTTTTGGGGGTCACCTAGTGCACGCACTCGTAGAATACAGCGCAAGTAGATGTGTGCTGGTGAAAAATGTTATGACGAGGATGTCCCATACATCAGAACTTGCGCTATGCTTTCTGGCATTTATTCACCACCCTAAGAAATGCATTGGCCTTGTTCGGGGTAACAGGACTGAAAGTCTGAAAAAATATTCATCTGTGTTTTTAAAACGAAATCACTTTGTTCCACAATATTATTACCTAGACTTGTACTCGGCTTATGTTGTATACGACATTTCTATCTAAATTATATTTTTACTGGCCTCTGCACTGAAGTTCAACTTGATGATTTTTTTTTTACTCATTATTTAACTTTTTTTTCGTTTCTTTATTTCATTTATTCGGGTTTTTTCTGTGGTTCCTTTCGTCTTTTGATATTCTATCTTGTTTAAAAGAAACTGTGGGTATTGAACAAGGGTTCATCAGCAAGAAAGGCTGCTGAAAGAGGAGACGAAACCAGACGACAGAACCTGGTTAGAGAACAGGAAAGGAGATGAAAGGAGAAAATTTTAGAGAATAAAATTCTCCATCTTAATTGAACCCGGGACCTGTTGAATGAGAGGCGAGCACTGCAACCCCTAGACCACGAAAGCCCCCTTAATATGTTCTGATCGGTTGTATGGTCGAAAAACCTGGCGGATGCCTGGCGATGGCACATTTCTTTAATCAAAAGATTACGACTTTCCTCGTCAATTTACAAAGCTAATTGCAGAGTATATTGCTGTAATGTTTGCAAAACATAAGCCTTAGTATAAACCAAAGAAAAAGAGATCATCATCATCATCATCATCATCATCATCATCATCATCATCATCATCATCAT